TTAGCCGTACTGTGTAAGTCTTGCTCACCTGCTTCAAGGCGACTTCGGCGTTGGGATTTGGAAGTTGAAAGAATACACTTATTCTGATTTGAAATTTCCTCAAAAGCTCATAGTAGCTTCCAAGCCGAGTCTCTTCTGCAAGAAATGTTGCGTTGGTCTTCTTGAGAACTTCCCATTTAGAAGCTTTGGGCTGAAAGTGTCGTTACTTAAATTATGCAAACTGGGCTCTCCTACAGCCACACAGACAGTGCTAAGATGCCTTGATCAATGCCATACACGCCGAGACGTGTGAACCTCCTCACCTCGGCAAAAGCCTCACAGCAACTTCCCTGCAACAACGAACTCAACAGCACAAACTACGTCACATCTGAAACCGACGCATGCGCGGAGCTTGTGGTCCTTTTGGCGGGTGAAATATCAAGGCGGACGCTGCGCGTCCACAGCTGACAGAAAAGCTGGGGAGGGAGGAGAATTGAAGACCGGGAGGTTTAAAACCACACATGCGCGTTCGGTCCGCTTCCTTCGAACGTGGGCTCCTTCAATTAAACGCCTTTCCTTTTGCCAAACCAGAATCGTCGCCGTCATTAATCCCCGAGTCGACATGTTGTACCAAAGCATCTCACATGCTATTGCCTTATACAAGCTTGAGCAATCTACGAAGCAATGCAAAGAGATATACACGGGCAAGCCTAAGCCGGAAAAGGTCACCTTGTTCTGGCACTTGGTAACCCTGTCACGGTTCAACAAGTACAACCCTCTTTTCACTACTTTTGCTGGAGGTACGTCTTTTGATTTTACCAGAGTCTTGGTCCGCAACGCTCACAGTGGTACAGTCTGGTCGGTTTTGTTGGCTGGTGCTTCTGAGCTCGTCGATCCCAATAGCAATATTCAGCCTGCTTTCGTCTTCAGACAGGCCGCACTATGCTTCATCGCAGCTTACCTATTTTGTGGCGCCGGTATGGTTTGGAATGACTGGGTGGACCGTGATATCGATGCCAAGGTCACTCGAACTAAAGACCGTCCTCTGGCCGCGGGCATCGTGACCACCACGGATGCGATGCTGTGGATGGTGCTGCAGCTGCTCGTGTCTTTGTCCATTGTCCACAATATGCTCAATGGAAAGGATGTGTATGGCCACCCGTTTTCCTCCTCCCAGATGGTTACATGACAGATATTCTAACGTTCGTCATCAGATTCCAACACATGTTCCCAGTCATCTTGGCTTCGGCTCTATACCCTTATGGCAAACGGCCTATGGCTTTGAAGCTTCGCATATACCCACAATACATCTTGGGGTTCACGATTGCATGGCCCGCCGTTTTGGGTCGATCCGCGATCCACGGTCGGTACGAGTCGATTGGCGACAGCATCGGTTATTGTTTGCCGCTTTGTTTCATGGTGTTCTTCTGGATCATCTACCTCAACACGGCCTACAGCTACCAAGACATTGTCGATGACCAGAAAATCGACGTCAACTCATTCTACACTGTTGGAGGGCGTCACTTCCATCGGTTCCTTCTTGTCCTGGTCAGCCCAATCGTCATGTGTATGCCTCTGTACCTTTTAAGGTTCGGGTCTCTATGGCTTTGGTTCAGTTGGATGGGTATATGGACCGCGTCCTTCGCAGCACAGCTGGCGCACTTCGACTCGGATAAACCATCGAGTGGAGGGGGTATACATAAGAGTAACTTTGTTCTTGGAGTGTGGACTATTGCTGCTTGTGCAGTTCAAGTCCTTTTGAGCGAACAGCGGTCTGTGAGATTTTGAAATGATACCACGGTAGAGAAAGGCTGGGCGAGAACGTTCAAGGCTTCGCTAGTGAGGAAGCCTGGAGCCTAGAGGTCACACAGAGAAAGTCTTGTCAATTAAGCATCGAATTTCTCGCGATTTCTGTTTTTACATGTTGAATTTGTCTGGAAGTTTTGATGATGTGCACTCAGAGACCGAGTGATATCCACCAATCTTGATGAGTTTGTGAAGAAACAAAGAAGAACTCATGTCATTGAATGTCCTTATCACGGCGCCAAATGCCATTCATTGGCTGCAACAATTTCACATTACATATGATCTGCATGAGCTATGTCATCTCGGATGTCACGTAGTGTGACTCAACTATCCATAGAGTTGGCCGAATCTCCAGAAGAAATCCCGCATGAATTTGTTGATATATGAAGCTCATGTTTGAGTATATGTGATGTTCCTCATCAAAGCCCTCAGAACTCGTATCCATAGCCTCCTCCAATGCGACCAGTGAGCCCGAACAAATCAGCGACCCATCCCAGAAATCCCACAAACCAGCCTAGAAATCCAAAGATCAGAAGATCCGGCGTGCCAAAGATGCGTTCTTTGAACTTCAGTCCGGGGACCTTCTGCTCCAACGTCCTCGGCTCGTCGAGATAGTAGTTGAAGCGCGTCCCCATCAGCTTGAACGTGGAATTGAGAAAGAAGCTGGCAGTGTAATAAGTGAGCGATCCAATAGCATCGAATCGGATCTCGCCGTGGACTCCGCGCTGCCGAAAGTAGTTCACGATCCGTCGCAAGAGGCCGTACATCTCGTCAGGGGTGAGGTACGGCGTCAAACCCTCGAAAAGAATCAGCACCGGTCGATCTGTGGGGATCTTGCAGTTGCTGAGCCACGCATCGTCGTGAATGTTCGGATCAATCAATCGGTATTCGCCCTTGCCAGTATCCGGATCCTTCATAACCTGCCGTCGAAGCTCAATTACATCATGCCTATCGGCGTCGATCCACAAGCGACCCTCGCCCTGCCATTTGACGCGAAGACTACGCGAGTCCATGCCGCATGCCAGGTGTAAGACGGTAGCCGGGCCTAAATTCCTCCTCAGAAACCTTTCGGTGCAGATGTCGAGCATGCGAGCGCGCATCGAGACTGAGCTCGCAAACATGACTGTGGTGGGGCCGCCGGCCGTTGTGCGCTTGAAGTCGTAACCCTGGTCCTTGATCTGAGAGACGATATCGAGGGCATATTGATCATTCAGAATCGGACGCGAAGACTCAGCATCTTTGGCGCGGGCAAAGAGCGTCAGTAGGAGAGTCTCTTGGGCACCGCTGAGGGTCACTTTGCCCTTTCCGAGTCCACCGGATGAATCTGATGAAGGCATCGTATGTGTTGCTATCCAGTTTTCTCTCGGGTAGGTGGATGAGCGTTGGTGAAGCAAGGGAAAGCAGCCCGCAAGCTGCCTTAGTTTTGAGAAACTCTCTTTGCCATAGATAGTCCTGATTTTGTGCCTCGGTACATGCTGATAGCCAAGCTAGGCAGCTGCTAGGAACTTGCTGGTTAAGCCGTGCATCGCGCATTCGGGAAGGCGTTGTGTCGGCTGTGAAACTTTGCGCGACTCGCTTCATCTGATATTTTCTTCCCTGTCCACTGCAGGCACTGTTGGCCGTCTACGCGCATGAGATGCGTCATCGGGTTGAACGTGTGACGATAAGTACGAAAGAAATGACAATCCTCGGGTTCGCCATCGTATTACCCAAAGTATACAGTATCGAAGATCTTGCAGGGCTCGAATAAGTCGGAGACATATTAACGGAAGTCACGGTGCAGTTCGGATATTCGCGAGGATGGAATGTTCGGCCGAAAGACTGCATTAGATGGCCGTCAGTAGATGTCAGAGGTGTAGAAAAATCCAAATAAAGTCTATATAATTTTTGTTTCATCAGCACGTACTAGGCTTCCAATTGAGTTAACCAGTGTCGACGGGTGGTGCCTTTTGAAAGATCAGGAACAGAGGCCTGGTAGTGCCCAGAGATTGAAGTATGCATGTAGAAGGCCGGAGTAACACAACGAAGTTTCACTCAATTCGTATAGCCAGCTGGTAGTCGGACTCAGGAGTCACCGAGAATCCGAATATTCATCTGATGAAGCTGCCATGGTTCCTTTAGCGTATGTGCCTTGTCGAGTTGGCTTAGCAGGTAACTTAGGGTAGCTGAGGATGGTAGCCGCGCGGATCAACATGTGTGCGTAAGAATCCAGAAGAGAGATATTCTTTGAAGAACGAAAAGAGGGATGCTCGCTCGGTATATGCTGTCCGCAAAAGCTCATTTTCCGTGTAGTCAGCGGCATCGGTGCTCCCCGCTGACCGTCTAGCCCTCCCCGCAGAATGAATATCCACCAAAGTTGACAGGTCGAACTTCTGGTCTGAGCGCGATCCATGAACCAGAGTCCCGCTAACCCGGAGTTATCAGTTGAATCTTTCACTGCACTGCTGCGCCGCTCAAGGCATGGGGATCCTACGGGTACCGTGACTGATCCACAGAGTACTCAATCACTCCCATGGCGTCATCACGTTCAAAACTACTGGTTCTGCGAGCGATTCAGCGTCTTTCCGGCATCCCGCATGGCGTGTTACATCAGCGCAAATTGAATTGGATGTCAGGCAGAGTCATGACAGCGGGAGATTTTCTGCATTCAGGAACTCTGAGGACGGAATGTGACACCAGATATGGACGGCAGTCTTCCGCGCGGACATCGAAAGTGATTTTACCGTACAGCGTTGCATCGAGAGGATCCAAACCCCGCCTGATCAGGTTTTAATCTGACATATCCAACCACAAGGCAGACTTGGCGTTTGAAGAAGATGGGGGTGTAAAAATTGTCGCTGAGAGACCAAATGTCATAAAACTCCGTATGCTCACTAGTTCGAAACTCAGTAGAAAAAGAGAAAGGAAAGCCATTGGCCAAGAGGAAATCCATCTGGCTCAAAGCTTGTAACAGCAAGCTACGGCAAAATTTGAAAGATCAGGACGGTTTAGGGAGACAGGTAACTCAATAATGTTTTGCTGTCTAGCTGCCGTGCTCCACGCGAAGCAGATAATTCTGATCCACATCTAGCACTTGTGATCACGTCCCACGATAAGCAGCCTATATGACTCGTAACAGACTCCCCTTTCACTCTGGGCCTTGTCAATTCCCACACACACTCGCAATGAATAGCATAACGTGACAACGATCAAGTTCTGTTCCTGGAAGACATTGCAGCACTCACCATTCATTACCCTGGCTGTTGTCCGAGCGCAAGCCACCAACTGAGTCCAATCAGGAACCGGTCTGCACCGGCAAGGACGACGGGAGTGTAATGGATGGGAGCAGAGGATGCTTTTATCCCAGACTCACCCCGCCACTCGGGTCCTTTCACCCAGCGAAATGGTCTGTCCTCGACTCGGACCCGAGTTCGTCGACTATTTCGACACGATCAGCCATGGAAGACCTCTTTCGTGTCTTGTCTAGCCGCCAAGAGGATGACAGCCCATCGATATCGGACTTCAACACGGCCCAACAGAGGGCGTTCGGGGTCAATGGGTCATTGATCATCGTCATAGTCTTCGTCATGGGCGTCAGGTTATACACGAGGTTCTCCATTACGAAGTCAATTGGAGCTGACGACTGTACGTCCCATTGGAACAGCTTCTTAGTCGTGGCGTTCTTGCTGACCAAAACGATTCTATAGTTATGATGATTGCCGGAACCGTGAGTATCATACTTACTCTTTCCAATGCATCGAACTTTATTTGACGGGTGCGATATAGATCGCCACAATCCTGCAGTCTGTTTGTGTCATGAATTCCGTGAGACACGGCCTAGGGAGAATCAGTGAGCTAGACAATACAAGGCCCAGGTTTCTTTTGCTAACCAGAGACAGGAGCCGAAATACCGTCGAATGAGTGGGAGCCAATGTTGCTGGTATGTTTGTTTTCTGAGTCTCCCCGCAAGATTCCAAACATCAACGAGGACTCACTAACCGTGCTCCCCTGTGCAAAGTCGCTCTATATCTCCCGATTGTTCTTCGCCGTCGGCAACGTGCTCGTTAAAGTCGGTCTTTTATTATTTTATCTGCGCCTCGATAACCGACCAAAGATGCGATGGACGGTGTATGGACTCATGGCGGCAGTGATCGGCTTGGGAATATGTCACTTCGTCATGTCCGCCATCGAATGTAACCCTGCCGAGGTATTCTGGACATCTAAGGGGAGTCACGAAATCTATGCGAAATACTGCATGCCGGCTGCGGTGCAGCAGGCATTCTGGGACGCCGCCGGTGTGATTGTCATTGTTACAGACATTTGTCTTTGGATCTGTCCGATTCCCATGATTTGGGGCTTGCAACTACCGCAGGTACCTTCACTTTGGACGTACCTCGAAAGTTCCTCGCGTTTGCTAACATGGAATAATAGCGGCAAAAGTGGGCGGTATCGGCAGTATTTGCGCTGGGAGTGGTTTGCGTTGCAGGTGAGTTGAACGTCAATATTACAGTCATCCAACGGATTGAATCCTGCAAAAGATCAAGCAACTGACCGGTGTTTACAGCTGGCTGCGTGCGCTTCTACTATGTCCGACAACTGGCAAACGAACCCGAGATATACCGACAATTCGCCAGCTCGCTTATCTGGTACGCCGTGGAGCTCTACGTCGCCATCTTCTGCGGTTGCTCCTCTGCACTCAAGACGTTCTTCAAGACGTTCTTTCCCGCACTGTTGGGCTTCTCTTCATGCAAAACAAAGTATCCTCTGGGGAGCAATGGCAAGGAAGGACAGGGAGATGGAACGCGATCTTCGCATCCTCTACAGAGTCTGCCGAGCCGACATACCGAATATAATGCTACCGTCACATCAGGCGGGAGAGGGAGGGGAGACGAGACGAGTATGGAGAATGTATCGAGAACCGACAGTGAAGAGGCTATCATACACGGGATTTCAGAAGGCTGGGATACTCCCAAGGGGGCGGAAGTGCAACAGAAGATTCGTAGAGCTTCCACTGATTTGAACATGAAGTAATGAAGTACTTATGCATGGTTGCAGGAGGCAAAGCGCCAATGCCGCGCTGTCGGGCATCTTTATGTGACAAAATGTTAATATCTACTCTTTATACATGTACGAATGACCAAACTGCCTCATTGATTTCTAAAGACTCAAGCTACATTTGCCAACTTATCTACATGTGACTTTGCGGTTACATAAGTGCGGGAGTTCGAGCACTTTGAGACGTGTGTGGAAACCGAATCCCGGGTTCCTCCAGCTCCCGAGTCCCACTCCGCTCCCGAAACTCCGCCGGTTCAATCTCCGCATTCGAACATCGACGGCTTCCTGTGATGTTAAAACTTGTGCCGCGAGGCCCGCGAGTGCTAGCGCCAACTCTAGAAAGCACAGGCGCCGGCGACGCGCCGTTTGGATTTGTAGCACTGTCCCCATAGCTGCATGTTGTGGTTGGCGGAGTTGAATTGAGTTTCCCAGGGGGTACATTCGACATGCGACAGACTTCGCGTGTAAGTCGCCAGCTTCGTCGGGTTCGGTATGAGAATGCGAAAGTTACGATAACGACGGCGGACGAGGAGGGGAACCTTTTGGAAACACCGGTCTAATGATATTCATGACGGGTTACATAAATATCCGACTTCAACCTCGTGAATGTCTTCTAGCTCTGAAAGTAGACCAACCCCTCGTTCCTCACCCTTGATCTCCCATTCATAACTAAGAGACGAAACCTTCTACAAAACTTCCACAATGTCTAAGTACGCCGAAGCCTTCCAGACCCCCAAGGGACCAGGCGACGCTCGCCCAACAGCCCTCCAAATCATCCAAGACGAAGGCCTCATCGGCAAACTCACCGGTAAGACCATCCTCATTACCGGCGCAAACCAAGGCATCGGCCTCGAAACCGCGCGCGCGCTCTACCAAACCGGCGCCACCATCTACCTCGGCGTCCGCAGCCGCGAAAAGGGTGAAAAGGCAATCGCAGATATCACTGCCTCCATCAAGGGCGAGACGTCCGGGTCTCTAGACTTCGTGGAAATGTCCCTCGACGACTTCTCCTCGGTCCGCAAAGGCGCGGAGGACTTCCTGTCCAAGAGCAACGGCAAGCTCAACATCCTCGTCAACAACGCAGGCATCATGGCACAGACAAAGACTATAACTAAAGACGGCTTCGAATCGCAGTTCGCCACGAACCACCTGGGCCACTTCCTCCTCTTCCAACTAATGAAGCCCGCCCTTCTCGCATCCGCGACGCCGGATTTTGCGTCCCGCGTCGTCGTCGTGTCGTCCATGGCCCACCGCGCCAGCGATATCCGCTTCAAGGATGTCAACTTTGACGAGGAGGAATCGTATGAGCCGTACACGGCGTACGGCCAATCCAAGACGGCCAACATTTACTTCTCCAACGAGATTGAGCGGCGCTACGGGGCCTCGCGGAACTTACACTCCACCTCGCTGCACCCGGGCGCCATCCTGACCAGCATGGCAGCGTCGCAAAACGTCGACGTGGACGCGATCAAGGCCAGTATGGGAGAGGAGACGTTCAACAAGCTCATGAGCACGCTCAAGAACCCGGAGCAAGGCGCCGCTACCACCGTCTACGCCGCCGTGAGTAAAGAGTGGGAAGGCAAGGGCGGGAAATACCTCAACGACTGCGCCGAGGGCGGACCTGGTGTCGGTGGATTCACGCCTGCGACGACGGATCCTGGGTATGCCTCGTGGGCTTACGATGAGGAGAAAGCTGCGCGGTTGTGGAGGGAGTCGTGCAAGATGGTTGGAGTTGAGGATGATGCTTAGCGCTTTTTGTCATGTGATGATGGGGTTGCCATGGGGTTGGCAGGGGTTATCCGAGTGAGATTTGAAGCCTGAGACCCTTTGTCTGGCTTCCTTCTTGTGGTCAGCGCTATGCATCTTTCGGTCGTCACGGTCAGAGAGGTATGCATGTCGTAAGCGGACGCCAATGCCCTGGATAAAGTAGAGACTACGTTAGCACTAGCTATTGGCGGGAATGCGATGGACTTAACCCAAATCTCACGTCGCGCGGGCTCTCAACCTGCCAAGTGCTTACATGTGGACAACCGTGAGAATCGGCTCAGATGATCCCCGCATGAGCTTTGATGAACCGATGGGATAGCTTGGGTTCAACGTACATGCAGTTAGCCAGTGTAAGATTCTTTCTCGCCGATAAAAGCTCTCTGTCTGCCACCGGGGACTGCATTTTTGTGTGGTGGTAGATCCATAGTCAATAGGCTCAATCATCAACAACTATATCTACAGGTCCAAACGCGTCAAAATGGCATCCGACTCTATGCCACCAGACTTTTACGTCAAAGCCCTTCAATTCACAAAGAAGGTCTACAGAGATGAATACCCAGCCATCAAACCAGAGAACTCCGAGCTCTCCCTCGCCGGCAAGATTATCGTAATTACCGGCGCGAGCCGTGGTATCGGTGGCAGAGTAAGTTGCCCCTTCCTTTTTAAATGAAGCTTCGGCTCACTAGCTTCTAGGGGATTGTGCCAGCATTCGCTAGAGCTGGAGCAAAGGCTATCGTTCTCGTGGCCCGGGACGAGAAGAAGCTTACCGCCGTCGCGGCAGAGGTCAAGGAGCTCAACGCCAATGTCGAAACGCTGGTCTACCCCGTCGACATGACGGACGAGGCAGGAATCAAGTCCCTCTTTGAGAAAGTGAACGCGACTTACGGCCACGCGGACGTCCTGGTCAACAATGCCGCCGTGCAGACCTCTCTCGAGCTCATCGCAAACAGCGACCCAAAACTCTGGATAGACGACCTGGTATGTAGAAATCCCGAATATTGCCAACCGTGCCCGGATGATACAGAAGCAACCTTCTCGCTAACTCGAGAAAAACATTAGACCACCAACGTCAAGGGAACCTTCTACCCAACCTTCCACTTCCTCAAATCCCTCCCCTCAACCAGCCACGGCCACATCATCAACATCACCACGATAACCCACTGGGTCGTGCCCACAATGAGCTCCTACATCATCGCCAAGCTCGCGACGCAGCAGCTCAACGCTCACGTCGCCGCCGAGCACCCGGACAACGTCACCACCGTCTCGGTGCACCCGGGCATGGTCCACACCGACATGACCATGGACCGTTTCCGCCCCTTTGCGCACGATACCCCCGCGCTCGTCGGCGGGACGGCCGTCTGGCTTTGTTCGGAGAAGGCGCGGTTCATGAACGGGAGATTTGTCGCTACCAATTGGGATGTCGAGGAGTTGGTGGAGAGGAAGGGGGAGATTGAGGAGAAGAGGTTGTTGCAGGTTGATTTGAATGGGCAATTTGGGGCGCGTCAGTCTGAGTAAAAGAGAGGTTGATTCAGCACGGCAACATTGGGTCAGATCAACTCACACCGGCGAAGTTCAAAAATGAACATGTGATTAGTCTAGATTCATAAGTATCCAGCTCTATGTCTATATCATGAGATCTACCCGAAAATCCTCAAATATTCTGCGCCATGCAATGCTCCAGGGTATACACTGACAATGATGGTACAAAAAACGAACTCTATATACCGAAACCGATTCCCAACACTTTTTACACAACTCGTGAACCATTCTAAGCCTCAGACCTAGGAGGCCACTTGACACGCCTCTCGGCGCGGACGTATAAGTTGTTCGGGCGGATGAGCTGGAACATGGGATCGTACTCCACGGGGCCCTCCTGTGCCAGGCTGAACTTGTAGCGGTAGATGAGCTTGGGGAGGAAGACCTTGACCTCCTGCAGGGCAAAGTTGAAGCCGATGCACATACGCGGGCCGGTGGCGAAGGGGATGTACGAGGCGTTGGGCCGGTTCTTGACCTTGTCCGAGTCCCAGCGGTCCGGGTCGAAACGGGCCGGGTTATCCCAGACCAGGTGGTTGTTGTGGATGTGGTGGATGGCGGGGATGCAGATGGAGTCCTTGGGCAGCTTGTAGCCGCCGGGGAGGATCATGTCCACCTTTGAGGTGCGGGCGGGCTGGTAGGAGGGGTTGTGGCGGCGCTGGGTCTCCTTGATGTACTTGTCGAGGAAGGTCAGCTTCTGGGTGAGGTCGGCGGTGATTTGGGTGTTTTCGTCGAAGCCGTTGTCGATGAGCTCCTGGAGGAGGCGCTCCTGCATGCCAGGGTAGGCGACGATGCCGTAGAGGAGCCAGGAGAGGAGGGAGGAGGTGGTAGTGAAGCCGGCGCCGGTGGCGACGACAAGGGGCTCCATGATGCGCTCCTTGGGGAGCTTGTTGCCCTTGCTGTCACTGGCGCGGAGGACGTAGTCAACCATGTTATCGGCCTGGAGGGCGGCCTCTTGCAGCTCGAGGTTCTCGACACCCTTGGAGGCGTTGTTGATGGACTCGTTCATCATCTCGACGATACGGCCGCGTGCGTCGCGGAGGCGCTGGGGGTCGCCGAAGGGCAGGGAGGCGTACCAGCTGCCCATGGAGGTAATCTTCTTGTTGAGCTCAAGGGACTGGGCGATGCGGATGACCATCTCGTGGGGCGGGGCGTCGACGGCGGTGAAATGCTTGAAATCCATGCCGAGGACGAGCTTGCCAACGGCCTGAGAGCCGAGCTTGAGCATGTAGGGGTAGACGTTCCAGGCCTCCTCCTTCTCGTCGAGCTCGTCAAAGACCTTGAAGGAGTCCTCGATGGTGGCCTGCATGGTCGGGGCGTAGTGGCGGACAGCCTTGGGACCGAAAGCGGGCGGAAGGAACTTGTGAACCTCCTTCCACTCGGGGGTATCCGTGTCGCCAAGGAAAACTCCGGACTCCTTGTTCTTGATAGGGTACAGCGGGTGACCGGGGATGATGTTCTTTGTGAAGAAGTCGCTCTCAGAGAAGAAGATGTTGGCGATGGCCGGGTCGTTGGTGTGGTAGATGACGGAGCCCATGTTCGTGGTCTTGAAGATGGGGCCGTACTTCTCGAAAAGGCGCTGGTGGTTACCGAGATGGTCAGGGTAGACCTCGAAGTAGTTGCCGATGAAGGGTAGACCAGAAGGGCCGGGGACTTCGCGGACGGGGTGGCCGTCA